TGGTGAAGCTTCTCACCGCCCCTGAGCCTCTGGCCTGTACCCCAGTTCTGTATGCACAAATAAATAAATCTTAAAAAAAAAAAAAAAAGGCAGTTTCTGACACTCTTGTATCTACTATACCCCCTCAATTCATTCTTCTTACCCAAAATAATTCTTAATAGGATGTTATACTTCTGTTATCCTCAGTCCTTGCTTAAAAGCTTTTAAAAGCTTCACACTGGATGTAAGTCTATGACTTAACTCTAGGTGGTATGGACCTTACACATTTCTGTCAATCCCATCTCAAACTACGGCTGGGGCTCTCGCCCTCCTTAGACATTCTCATTGGCTGGCAGTTGTTCAGAAATGCCATGCTATGCCCTAGCACAGAACCTAGGCACAAGTTATTCTGGGTAGGCTATTGCTAGTTTACATTTACTCAGTTTTCAGATGATAGTTTATGTTTCAGGAATTTATTCCTTATTCTCAAAAGTCAAATTCCCAATATATGCTTCAACAACATTATGTAATTCTTCTTTGCAGCATTTAACAGCTACAATTATTTTCTTTCCTGCAATTATTTAGTATCTGACTTCTCCATTAGCCTATAAATTCTATAAGGATCATGGATTAAGTCTGTTTTTACTCACATACTCATTTTAATGTACATAGTATATGAAGTGTTTACAGAATGAATGATATATGCCTAAATATAAGACATAATAAGGGTGTTTTCAGTGACATTTTGATATTTACTTATAAAGAAAAAAATTAAAACTTAAAGCAAAAACCTCCCCTAAGAAAAAAAAACTTACAAAATAGCTTACCTAGACACAAATTCACTTAATTCTGAATATTCTGTAGGCTCCATTATTATATTGAGGTCAGTAATAACAGAAGATAAACTCTCCTTATTCTAGAACAAAGGAAAACAATTATATGTCAGATCACACAATGTACACAATACACAATAATACACATTAATAGGTCAAAATAAGAATGAAGTATGGATAGACACCATGACATGAAAGCACCTTGAAAACTTTATGCTAAGTAAGTCAGTCAAAAAGATTACATATGAAATTTTTTTTTAAATCATGTATTTCATTTATATGATGTGTCCAGAACAGACATATCCATAGATAAAAGATTAGCAGACTTATATGTGCACAGAAGTCTGAGTGGTGATAAAGAATTTGGAATTTCTTTGTATGTGATGAAAACATCCTGAAACTGATGTAGTGATGGCTGTATAATTGTGAATATATTAAATCAGTGAACATACATGTCAAATGGATGAATTATGTGGTATTCTAATGATATCTCAATACAGGTGTTTTTTTTGGAAGCTGTAATATCAGATTATATTCTGGGAAGACCAAATTCCCAATTTCTGAGTTGTCTAGATCATTTCAGTGGGTTTTCTAAACATACTTTATCTGTCACTTTTTAAAAACTGCCAGCTGATTTATTATGCTGCATGAACTATGAATGCCAGCATATGTTAATTCTGATGTTTGTGCAGAAACAAACAGAGCAGTGCTAACAACAACAGACAGTAAATCTGGGCAACAGAGCTGTATAGCCTACCTAACTCTTGACAGCAGCTAGACCCACATGAGAAATCATCGCAATTCTCATTTTATATATCCCTATAAAATAATGAAGGTTGACCTAGATAATCTATAGTATCACTTTTGGTTCCAACATTCTATTGATGTGATTTTAGGTCATTTTGAATCTAACATTGTATTACTCTGACTTAATTAAAACAATCTATCTTGTAGTTTTATCCTTTAGCGTACTTTTAAATTTTCTGATAGCTAAACATCTCCCTCTAGTGGAAATTTTGTTTTAAAAATGTTCTAGAAAACTGAGGGTTGCTGTGAATTCACCAGTTTTTTTCCTATCAGTCAACTATAAAAATCTGTTTAACATGTAAAATGAAAGCCATTTTAGAAAGAAATTTGGTACCTTCAATCAGAATTTATTATCAATCAGAACTGACCTAGAAAGTCTACCAAAGATGTTTTTCTAAATATACACTCATACAAGTAGGCCTAGAAAGTGTAAAGATTTACCATTAAATAATTAAAATTTTAAAAAATTTCTCAAGATACTATTATCAGAATTCTATGCAACCAAGAAAAATGAGGTAGTCCTCTATTCTTTTCTCCTTCAAGAATGTCTGAGTCCCACATACATATTTTTCATGAAGTCTCACTAATTTATTTGAAATTGCTTGTAACATCTCGCTTACCCATCTGCTCTGAAGAATCATAAAAGTGGAAAAGTACAGAGATAAAATGAGTGTTCTAGACATTGCCAGGATAACATGCTCATTCTGCAGGAAATTAAGTAAAACCCAGAAATTAAAAAATACCTACGTACACTGAAATATGATTGACTACTTACGACTCTTCAGATATTTAGCAATTACTATGTTCTATATCTTTCATAGATTATCTCTGCCTAGCTTGGTTTTTTTTCCCCCCCCCAATATTTGTGTTTTTTTCTTGCTCCAGTTTTGCACTGGCTACATGGTCACACAGAGGAAGACCAAACTTCTAGCTTCCTAAACACCAATTTGTTGGCATTTAGAATATTAAGTGAAAAATGATGCCCATTACAACTTCCAGAAAGTGACTTTTAAAGGAAAGATAAGCCCTATTTGCCCACCTCCTTTCCTGACCCCTGGAATGCTGATGTGGTAACAGGACAATGAGACCGAAGCCACACAGAGATGGTAAAGATGGTTATGGAGTCATTGAACTAGCCCTTGAAAACTGACCCTCAAATTCTGATTAAGCAACAGAGAAATAAACTAGCACCTTAAGTTCCCTTTTAAGTTTTCTCATCATGTGCAGCTCAACTAATTCTAATTTATTCAGGTGTGATCTCAAATGACCAGAAGCTCAAGAGAAGCTCTGAGCAAGAACACCCGGCCAAATAACTCCCATATTCTGGACCAATGAAACAATGAGTCAGGTAAAATGTGTTCTGCCATTTTAGGCAGTTAAGTTTTGGAGACATTTGTGAAGCAGCAATAGATAACTAATAAATATTAGATGCCTGGCATATCAGCTGACTATCTGGGGCATCTAGGCTACTCCTATGACCTTAGGACTTGCACTAGAAGCCCAGGGTCCTCTAAAATAAAGGCCCCATTCACTCAACACAATTCTACCACATGCAATTGCCAGGGTACTATACCTCAAAATAGTTTTTTAATGGCACTACTTCGTACAAATGTATTACCAAGAGTCCTGGCTTACAAACTCCTCCTTAGTTCAGCTACTGCTGGATGTTGGGAAGTGGGATTTTATCTCACAGCAAGAGAAAGAGTCTCTGTTATCACTCCTTAATTTACCTGTATTTCCAGAATCTGAAATTCAAGTTGAAATGTAATCATGTGACAATTTCCTGATAGTCTATGTCTCTCAAGAACTTTCTTTATACCTGTAAGTCAGAAAAATCTTTGTTTATAAATTCATATTTTCTTTAAATAGCTTTTAATTTTATGTGACTATAATAAATGGGTATAAATGTGAGAGTTATGTTAGCATATGCACTGAAAAAATCTGCAAGAATATTCACCAAACTGATTACTTTTGAGGATTAAAGACATTTTATATTTTACAGTTCTCAATTATACCAAAGATAAAGGTAAGAATTAGAAATATTCCTAAGTCAATTAAATGATAATTAAAAGGTATTTTAAGTATAACATGAATACACTTAAATGCATTAAATGCCCTATCTTAACTATATATATATAGTTCAATATGTTTTTACATATGTGCTTCTGATATAACCACTACCCAAAAGAAGATACAGAAATTTTATAGTACCCCTTAAGGTTTCTCATGCCCCTTCCCAAGCTATACGTAATACCTCAAGAGCTAACTACTATTCTGATTTTACCACCAGCTAATTCTGCAATGAAGTTATTTTTAGAAGAGCATAATTCTATAAAGATAAAAGAGAAGAAAGATGAGAGTAATCCAATTTTGGAAAGTGGAAATTATATGGATGAGCCAGATATCGTGTAACAAATGAAGCTGACTTTGCAAACCCAGGCAATCACTATAAGCCAGCAATGGGGGAAGTTCAGAATCCGGTCCATTCACAACCAGAAAGGCACTCTGAATTGTTGGCACAAATACCTGGACGGGGGTGGGGGCGGAGGGATGAACTTAAAGCTCAAAATTGGAGAATTGGAGGACAACCAAAAAGTAATTTATACCAGCCTATTCTCAATCTCTATCGTCTCTGTACTCAATCTCTTCCTACCAAGTAACTGAAAATTCCACCACTCCTTTCTGTATGTAATGCAAACTGTGGTGAGCTGTCCAAGACCCATTGAGGGTCACTCTTCCTCTCTCCTGTCTTGAGAGCTGTTTCAGTGAAAACAGTGGAAAATCAGAAAGCCATATCCAAAAGTGATTCTCCTTTTAGGGAATGCTACTCTTGCCCCAACAAAGTTACTGACATCCAGCTGTACTGGTGAACTATTTTCTCCCTATCTGTCCATGCATTACAAATTCTTGGCAATAAATCTTAGTCACTGGGGCCAGAAACCTCTTCCTATCAAATGGTCCAGTGGCTGACTGTTCTTGGAAATAGGCCACACTGTTCATTAGGAGTAAAGCACTGCAGATGAGTCAGCTCTCAAGTCAAAGTGAACAACTCTTAAGAATTAAACATTGATGGAATTGCCTCCCTGGTGGTGCAAGGGGTTGAAGCATAGCACTATGAAGTTATCTACAGCCACTGCAGCACGAATTCAATCTCTAGCCAAGGAGATAATCCATATGGTGCAGCTGATCTCTCCTGTCTAGTTTGCTGCTCCCCTCATGAGTGTATTTCATTAGGTCTGCCTGTCTGTTCCCCACTCTCTGGTGAATCCTTTCACCTCCCACATCTCTGGCCTGTACCCCAGTTCTTATATGCATAAATAAATGTTTAAAACAAAAATTGATGGTGGTGGTATTCTTTACAATTACTTATCTCTGTTACTTGAGTATTTAGTTACTGAATTTAAAAACTAACTAAAGAGTATATTTGCATACTATGATGCTCAAGAGACACCAGCCTAAACAAGTTTACTACAAGCATATTTTCAAATAATTACCCTACAGAATTTTAATTCAACCATACAACCAATTCCTATACGTAACAGCCTTGAAACCAGTTCCAGATTAAAATTATTACTTACTATTCTCTGCCGTCTCTATGCTTTTAAGCTCTTCTGTCTTCTTAGAGTAGTTTTTTATATTGATGCCAGTAAGTGTACTTAGAAACTTAAGTTCCGATTCTAAATGTTCAACATAACTTCTCAGATCTTTTAAAGGTTCCCATCTTTCAGAATTTAGTTGTTGCATTTCTTTAAGTGATTTTCTGAAAAGTAAATATCAAAAATAATTAGTCCAATGAAGAAACCACTAAGTGTTTTATCTAATATCCATAAAACCATTCTCATTTTGTCCTTCCCATTAAAACCACCTACCAATTTTCCCAACACCAGTGTAACAACTGGCAATGCAATCTTTACTTAATCTCAATATTAAAAAGCCAAGTTATGCTATCATATTTCTATATATTAGAAACAACTGTAAAATAAATTATAACAGGTGTATCTTGCAAAATTAAAGTATCCATATGAACGCCTGCTATCCTACACATATCCAATTATTTTGTCATCATTTTTTGAGAAAACATTGGTTTTTAGCATTGCATGTGATTCAGATATACAGGATTACGCCTTTCAGAAGTATGTATCACAAAAAAATGCCACCAAGTCAGACTGTTCCCCAGGCATTTAAGAGCTCTCCTACCATTTGAGGGCAAGATTTTAAGACAAAACTTAACCACACTTGCTCTTAAAGATGGGCTGATTTACAATAAGTGATCCTACAATTTAGTCAAGAAGAGTAATAAATACATTCACTGTTACAAGTGTACAGATGCAAATGCTTGTGTACATGATGCCATACAGAAGAAAAGGGGAATATTAACCTCACATAACTGAAAGGTTAAATATAGGGATTTTATCAGTCAACTTATGGAAACTAAATCTATGCAGAGCTGCGGCTTTAATGCATTGCTTATGTTACCAAAAATTAGATTGTGAAATTGCCTATGGAAATAGAAAAGCTGATCCAAGCAGTGAAGGCAAGCGCTTATCTCCCTGTGACTGCACATTACTCTGAATCTCAACCTGGACTATTCATCCAGTATATACTGACAGCCACCTCCAGAGGGCAAAAGAATGGGAAATTTTAGGAGGAGGAAGAAGAGAAATGGTTAGCAAATCCTGGAGGGAGGATGCCACTGCCAGAAAATCTTATCATTTAAATGATAAAATACATTCACCAAACCAACCATTATGGGAGAGATTCATTCTCCACCGGCTGCAGCCCTACATAGGTGGGTCAGACTCTCACAAGTAATTCAGACAGCAATTGCAAAATGCTCAGTTGCCAAAGGACAAACTCTCAGTTTGTCCCAGGGAATGTTCCTGTGGCAGTGCAGTAAGGACGCTGCCTAGTGAAGACTGGCAAATTGGTTTCATAACACCTGGTGTCCCAGGAACTTTTTGATATCTCAACATATATGGACACTGTGGGATGGGTGGAAGCTTGTCCCACCCACTCAGAGTAGTCATTAGAAGTAACCAAAATACTACTCTATCGAAATTCTTCTGCAGTTTGGATTCCACCTTTATTTCCAAAGTAACTAAAAAAATCTCAAGGTATTTTAAAAATATCCTAAAAGTTACATTCTGCACGGAGACTTCAATTCTCAGGAAAAGTTAAAGGATGAATCACATTCTCAAACACTTTCTAAAGTCTGTAAAGACAAACTTGAGATAGGACAGAACACAGCTTATTGTCCTGCTGTGAACCTGGATAGCCCGGAAAGAAAGTTGGCAATTATTCCTTTTGAAATTTTATACAGGACCTTTTCTCCAGGTTAAAGGTGGAAGAGATGCCTCCAATTTTTGAAATTATAACCAGTGTATCGAATACTATGTTATTTCCTTAAACTGCAATATCTGACTCTTGAAAAAGTTTGCTTCTGATAGACTATAGCATTTGACTTGCCCCTCCACCCCCTAATTGCCTAATTACTTACCTAGTGATCAGATGCTTCTGAACACCTTATTCTGATAATTAACTGCAACCTTGTAGGATAGGATGGGCTCTACATAGTCCTTATCATCACCCACTCTGTCCTAAAGTTAGGTGGCATAAAATCTTGGTTTCACCATGCTGGGGTAAAAGCCTCTCCATTTACAGAGAGTGTACTATAGTTCCTACTCTTGACTTGACTTTACAGCTCACCAGACCCTCCCCCCTCCCTTAATCTCCACAGTAAACAGTGACAATCCCTATACTAACTTTATTCATGATACTTTTTTTCCCCTTTACATCAAATTATTTCGTAAAGAAATTTTTATATCACTTGCCGTTCAGGTAACCCATACAATACATACCGTGAATCCGAACAGGTATCAAATCCCAAATATAAAATGCTTCCCACCAAAGTCCAGATTACTAATGATGTAGGCAAAAATTTTCTCTTGGTAGCCATCAACTAGAGAACGATCTAAGAGAAAGCGTCTTCCCAGATCTTCATCAACCCAGTTAATTAGGAACACGTTCCCCACTCGGCCTTCCGCGGCACTGGCCCTACAGTCACCCAAGCGGCGGGAGTCCCACCCAGGCAAGCTCTGGGGTGTCAATGGGGAAACCCAATCGGCCTGAGGACGCACACACCTGGCTTGGGGGGCGTCTCCCCAGGGCGCCGGCAGCTCCTCACACGCCCGCTGCAGGGTGGCTATCTCAGCTTCCAGGGCTCTGAGCTCTGCCATGGATCGACTCCGACCAGAGACGTCCAAAGCGCAGAGTTCAGCCGTTCTGGTGCCCGTGGAGGGACGAAGACTAGAGGTGTCTGGGGCGCCGAGCTCTGCCCGCCAGCGATCCATGAGGCGCACCTGACCCGAAACCGCAAACTTCGCGCCCTCGCCGGAGTTTTCAAGCAACGCGCGCTCTGGCACCTACCATCCCCGACGTTCTGCGGGGGGAGTAAACCCGGAGAAGCCCGAGTTCGGGGGCCCGATTCTGCGCTTGCACAGTGAAAGGATGTTTCGCTGTCCAAGCACCAACTGCCACAGCTGGCTTCCAGAGTTTAAGCGCTGCAAAAGCTACGGTTTGCTGCAACCCAACCGCCACCGGCGAGCTGATCCACCCTGCCCTGGCGGTGCCTCGGAGATTCCCGGACGCGGATGTCAATTTCGAGTTCTCGGAACACGTGCGTGGGCGTCCCTTTATTTTTCTTCCGGTCCTTCACTTCCACGATATAATTTAGGAGTCGGTGAATAGAAAGCGATGTCCAGCTACAGTTTGATTTACGAATTTTGGCTTTGGGTCTTTGGGGTATTTTGAAGGTATAGAGGCGAAGAATGGGAAACGAAATCCCAGCGATTGGGAAACCAAGTGAAGAGCACTCCGGAACTGAATGTGTTAACGGAACCCTAGAAGGCTGGGCTGAAGATCTAGTAGGAAGGAAAAGAGGTGTGCCTGTTGGGACACGTGACCGGAGATTAGATTTCGGCACTTCAGGCTGGAAAAGAGAATTGGTGAGCTGCCGATTAGGGGAACGAGAAATGAGGGAACCGTTTGGCCTACCATGACTCTCCTGGTCTCAGTTCTTCTCAACAAAGAATGGTGTGGGCCGATTGGGGGCGGGGAGGTGACCAGGAAGCTGTGGGCCACGGCTCAAACCCAGAACCCTAGCCATGCTTGCTCCGGGATTCCGCGTGGAAGGAGTCTGTCATCTCTTGGGAAGGGGGAGGTGGATCAGCGCCTGCTAGGTGCTAAATGGGATGAGAGATCTCTTGATGACCCTCAAATCTCAGTACTTCTGGAAACGTCTTCCTAAATCCTAATCCAACAACTTCCGTAGCGTGCTATAACAAATACAGATTCTGGAATTAGACCTGGTTTGTAATTCTCTCTTCATCTCCAATTTTCTGAATGGCGCTGGAGAAGTGACTTAACTTCTCCTCATCTTAAAAGGAGGTACATACAAACACTCTTGTGTAACGCAGGTACTTAGGTATTTTGTTGTTTGTGTTTGTATTTGCTATAATAGAAGTTGTTCTCTTTATGCCCAAACAACAATTAGGAGACAACTTCAATTGTACAATTGTAATTGCAGTGTTAGCTTATTTCTTATATGTGACCATAAACTATTCCGGAATGGAAATTTCTCTGTGCCTTAGCGTATTTATCTGCTTCATCTCATTTTTTCCAGCGTTTGTTAAAGTGAGTAAATTAATGTATGTATCAATAAGGGAAGAACACCTAACAACTTAGATAAGTCAATGAAGACGGGTTCTTCTATAATATTGTGGTTCTTCAGAGGGAAAACACCTGCCTATGTTGGTGCCATCTGGGACCATATGTGTGTTTAGACACTATTTCAGAGTGTGGTCATGGAGAATATGCATATATAGGGTTTCAATAGAATCTCCAGATAAGATCTGAAAGCAATATAATAAGTGATGCACAGATCCAGACGATTCATATGCATAGATGTTTTAGGGTAAATGGTAGATTGTTAGATTTGAGATTTGAGAACTAATGGAAAGAATTCTTCTCTGTAAATAAAAAGTTGTATTTCCCACAATCAGTGTATGCCCAGCCCTCATGAAAGCCGGCAAAGACATGAAGCGCCTCTATGTGGGTGGACTTGGCCACAACATTTCAGAGGCTGACTTACAAAATCAGTTCAACAGATTTGGAGAAGTTTCTGATGTGGAAATCATCACTCGGAAAGATAACCAAGGTAAATTTATAGTCTTCATGAGTAGCTTAAAAACAGTTAGACCAGTTGTCACAAAAATTCATAAAGATGAATGTCAGTCCTAAACACTGAAAGTGTTACATTATGGAAAACTGGCTTATGTATCCTGCTCCATGCTCTAGAGGTGCCATGTGTGATGTGCAATTTGTCCAAATTAGTGTTTCTCAAGTAAAAAAAAATTCTAAATTCCCAAACATACAATTTCTAAAACTTGTAACTTTCAAAGTTTCCTATTAAGTAGGTTATCACAAACACAGAATCAAAATGTTTCCTAGCTGATTACTGGATATTACTCTCATGTTCATTTTCTTTTGGTATATTTTGATAATTCATATTTAGAAATTCATATTTAGAAAAGTGTAGTTCTTGTTTTCACTGAAAGATAAACAAGGTTTTTCTTTGAAATAGTAAGTTTCCAAGAGCTCATTTTTTAAATTTAGAAACTTAATTTGTATGCTGTTCTCTGAATATGGGTTTAAGTAAGTTTATTTCTTTTTTACAGGAAACCCACAGAAAGTCTTTGCATATATCAACATTAAAGTAGCAGAAACAGACCTGAAAAAATGTAAGATCATAATGTTTTCTTTTTTTTTTTTAAGATTTATTTATTTATGCATACAAAACTGGGGTACAGGCCAGAGGTGCAGGAGTGTGAGAAGATTCACCAGAGGAAGAGTAGGGGCAGCAGAACAGGCAGGTGGACAAAAGTACACTGCTGAGGGGAGCAACAGGTGGGTCAGGAGAGGTCTGCCATGCCATGTGGATCACCTCCCTGACCGGGAATGGAACTTGTGCTGAAGTGGCTGTGACAGGTTTCGTGGTGTGGCACTTTAACCCGTTGCACCACCAGAGAGGGCCCCCTAATGTTTTCTATACTCTTGTCAGTTTATGTCAGTTTGTAATTGCATAACACCTGAAAAGCCACTTTCACTTCATTCAGAGGGACAGTCAGTACAGGTTTAGAGTCATACCACTTGGAATCAATAGACATATGGTAGCACATTCCTAGTGGATTTGCTCATAATTGGTTTCATGAAATATTTTGGACAATGCACCAAACTTTGACAGAAATTGTATTACACACATCCCACTACTCGTATAGCTAATCACTCTCCCCAGGGTGTTTATTTCTTTAGCAGCTAAGTCTTGTGATTAAATGCTATTAGGAGAGGGCTATAAAACAAGCCCTTCTAAGACCATATTCTTGAAATTACTATATCTGTGTAAGTTTAATAAAAATGGCATTTGATGAAGAAAGAAAGGAAGATATTCTATAACTACTGTAATGTTTTCTAATTATTTAGAGGCTGAAAAGATAACAGTTACTGAAAAGGAAACATGCTAATAGAGAAAGAAGGCTATCAGCCTTTTGCAATTTCATTTACAGGAAACACTTTTATTATTCAATGAATAAAATAATTGACAAGTTATGGTTAAGAAACACATCAACTTTGTTAAGTTTACCTGATGTATGACAAAAATATTGCTTTTCTGAAGATATTGCTGTGGAGATTAGATTGAATAAGACCTTTGTCTTTAAGATTATCTACCAGTAAAAACAACTGTCTTTTGATAATTTTTTTTGTTAAGATTTATTTATTTATTCATACAGAACTGGGGTACAGGCCAGAGATGTGGAGGGCGAGAGGACTCACCAGGGACAGAGCAGGGAGCAGAACAGGCAGATTGAGGAAGTACACTGCTGAGGGGAGCAGCAGGCAGGTCAGGAGAGGTTTGCCACGCCATGTGGTCACCTCTCGGGCAGGTGGGAATCAAACTCATGCGGAAGCGGCTTTAGCTTCTCAGTGCAGTGCTTTAACCCACTGCGCCACCAGGGAGGGCCTTGATAATTATTTTTAAGAAAGCTGGTAACAGGTCCTCAGAAAAATTGACTGCTAGAGCATAGCAGTTCAGATACAATTGAATCGCTTCCAGAAAACTTGTTTTCAAATAACAGAGTGATAACTAGTATGAGGTGATAAATAAAAATGAGGTGCAATAGGAACCACAAAGTGTCCCCTGATTGACCTTGGAAAGCTTGCCATTGATGTCTGGTTTTAGAGTGGGAGATAACTATAAAATGTTAAGTAAATGTAGTCATTCATCAGAGATTCCTGACATTACTTTACAAACATTTGACAAACATTTTGCTTTATAGTTTACTTATTTGTTTGATTCAAATCTTCCAGTAATGCTGAGAGGTAGGGGCTTTAAGGACTCCCCTAGTGAGTGGGAGAGATGAGACCAGGTCCTAGCCCTTCTCTCTTTAGGTCTCTCTTCATTTCTTCTGTCTCTGTGTTAAACAAATCTACTTATCTTGGTTCTAAATAATTAGAAAAAGCACATTCTGAATTATGTGCATCATCATGTACTTAGTGATAATCCTTTACTTTTTAGGTATGTCTGCTTTAAATAAAACAAAATGGAAAGGTGGAACACTTCAAATTCAGCTAGCAAAAGAAAGTTTTTTGCACAGGTAAGATTTGCTTTACATGGACTTAAACCCTATTTCTTTATAAGTGGTTTTATATATTCATTTAATTGAATCAAAACTGTTGAGTAATATAATAGTTTTAGCAAATTCAGGCATTACAAGTAGAGCCAAATAAAATCCCTCTTGAACTCTCTCAGTGACCCCAAACACTAAAAATGCTAATGCTTACAAATGTATATTGTAAGCTATAAAAATAAAACTTCATTTATTGAACATAAGCCTTTTGTGATAATATATGTCTTTCCCTTTCTTTGTAACAACTGTTTAGTACTGTTTGAGGAAATGATTTATCATGTTGGCCATTTAGACTGTTTCCATTTCTTATGATATTATATCACCTTTGCAAATGTCTCTTGGAAGAGTTCTTCTAGTGTCTATGTCAACAAGGAAAGGTGCTAATTTATGTATATTTAATTATTAATAAAAGCTGCAAAATTTCTTGTGTTGGTTTTGACTATTAATACTAATGTCACACAAAGATACAAAGGTAATAGGGAATTCCTGTATGAGAGCCATGAGATTATACAAATGATTTAAGAATAAGATAGCATAATAACTATTGTAGCATTTTTTTTTTAAGATTTATTTATTTGTGCATACAGAATTGGGGTACAGGCCAGAGGCTCAGGGGTGGCAAGAGGCTTTACCAGAGACAGAGTGGGGAGCAGAACAGGCAGATCGTGAAGTACAGTGCTGAGGGGAGCAGCGGGCAGGTCAGGAGAGGTCTGCCGCGCCATGTGGTCACCTCAGGGGCAGGCGGGAATCGAACTCATGTGGAAGTGGCTTTAGCTTCTTAGAGCTGTGCTTTAACCCGCTGCGCCACCAGGGAGGGCCACTATTGGAGCATTTTAAAGAACCTAAAGGTACTCTTATGGAGAAAAGATTATTAGAGTATGGGATCTTTCAAAATAAAAAATATTTTAGGAATGTGCAGAGTAACCACAAGAGTTGGTAAGGTTGTTCTAGGCCAAGGAAATGGCACAAGGAAAATGAATGCCTAAGTCAGGTGACAGGCATCCTACTGGAGATGTGATTTTGAGGGTGTGATCTTGTGGAAAAGGTGAGATCTGTTTTTTTTTTTTTTCCAGTGGGAATAGAGAGAGGGTACATCTCTGAACACAGTGGTGATGTGACTTTACTTAGCTGTACTTTAGTGCCTACCATTTACAAGAAGTGGGACTCAACTCCTAAGCAGGTAGACCTGCATTGCTGTTGCCTTGGTGTTGTGTGGGTGTGCCTGAGGGTCATGAATCTATCTCACGGTCATTCTGGAAGGTGTCAGGAAAGTAGAAGTAAAGTAGTGAGTGACAATTGGTTAGCACAATTGTTCAGACCTGAATAAGGTTGGGCAAGGTTTAATTAGAAGGGAAAAGTGGCATTCTCTTTTCTTCATTACAAGGGTGGAAATAATCAAGATTTGGTAATTGAGCTATGAAAGACACCAGCCTCTTCCTCATGAGAAAGAGTCAAGGGGTTGAGATGGATAAAATGACAAAACTGAATAAGTTAAAAGGGAAAATTAAGACACCCTAAATGATCACTATAAAGTTAAGCATCTGTATGAAATTACAGAACAAAACAAAAGCACTGTCGATAGCATGGTTGGTTATTTTAACTCTTTTATTTATATTTTTCTCTTTGATTCAGATTGGCCCAAGAGAGAGAAGCAGCAAGATCAATGAAAGAAAACTCAACAGCCAGCACCAACTTGTTTGAAAAAACGAAAGTAGATTTCTATATAAAAGCCGTTCCTGGGACAGAAGTACCAGGACATAAAGTGAGTCACCTCTGCTAGCCTAACTGGTCAGATACCTGAGACCAAATGATGTGGGCCTCATGTCTAATGCACTTTTATTTTCACCCTTGCTTTAAAGTAGTTAACCTAGCTTGTGCTTTTTGTTCTTCACAGTACATTTACAACTCTTGGCATCAGCATAGTTCTCCCCTATTCTATGGAAAGAGGAGTCAAGCCCAAAGCATATAGGTGGTGGGGAAAATACACTGGCCCCACATACTTTTTTAACAACTGGTGTTTTGTTTAGTATTCTTTATGACTTATATGGGATCAACATATGCCCAGCTTTTGCTTTCTTTTCTCTTTATTCATAGATTTCTTTAAGAGTTCATGCTTTATTACCAGAAGAGTAAACCTAACAGTAATCATGGCCTACTGTGAGTTCAGTTTTATTTTTAAAGATTTATTTATGCATACAGAACTGGGGTACAGGTCAGAGGTGCAGGAGCAGTGAGAGGATTCACCAGAGACAGAGTGAGGAGCACAACACGCAGATCGACCCAAGTACACTGCTAAGGGGAGCAGCGGCCAGACAGAAGAGGTCTGCTGTGCCATCTGGATCACTTTCAGGGCTGGGGATCAAGCTCCCACTGAAGCGGCTGCAACTAGCTTGCAGTGCTGTGACCTAACTCTTTGTGCCACCAGGGAGGGCCGAGTTCAGTTTTTTAAAATACTACATTTATACAATGTGGTTAATCTTTTCTATTGTATTATAATATGTAAATAAATGCATTCTTTTTTTTGTTTTTCTTGTCTTTTAGAATTGGGTTGTTAGTAAATTTGGAAGAGTGTTACCTGTCCTTCACCTAAAGAATCAGCATAAACGTAAAATATCCTTTGCAGTTGTCTTTCAGAATGATTGTTGCTTGTCATAGTGCATGCTACTTGCAAGAGTTAATGCCTCTGTTATTATGTATTTATCTAACAGTTTTTATGTTTCCAATTTCTAGGCAAGGTAAGAATGATAAGCCTACATGTATGAAGCAGTGAGAGAATATTATGAGGTTTCATATGAGCAAGTGATACAAATGCTGATTGTCACAAAAGCACTTTCATTTACTGATGTACACATCTTTCCTTTTTTGATGTATATCCAATTGCTAAAACAGCTGAAGAAGGGCTAAAAAGCAGGGTCCATCATTACAGAAGATTCTGGCGTAACAATAAGTTTCACAGTAGGAGATAAGTTATAGAAGAAGCCCAAGAAAGAGGAAGAATAGATACAAATATGGCTGGGGAACAGTGTAGAACCCAGAATGAAAGAATTCTGATGACTGATCTATTGAGGAAATGAAGTCAGATTTTCTAAGACCTAGGAATTCCTAGTGCCATGGGTGGCTGGGCAGAGGGTGCACCCTCTTGTGTATCTTTTAGCTCTAACTGTGTGTCAGTCAAGGAAAGAGAAGTGGTTCCAGGTGTTACAGAGGGTATATAATGCATACAATTTGTTTAAACAAACAAACCGAAGTATTAAAGGTGTAAGAAGGCAGTGGTCACTTTTCTAAAGGTTAGTAACTGCAGCAAGTTACAACTTTCTTGGGACTAAGCAGCAGAAACATGTCCTGTTGACCAGGGCTGTAGTACACTGAAACCACCCCCCCCACACACACACACACCCCCAGCACTAGCCATATTCACCGTTTGTGTTTTTCCTGCCAGTGGAACTAAAGTCTGGGGAATATTGATATAATAACTTCTTTATTTCCCTCTACCTCTTGGCTTTACACCAGTTGCAGCCAGTGATGACAAAGAAGGGGGTATTGAAGGTCAATGTGAAACTGAGACAGTAGACATTGTTTGGCATACTTCACATATTTGACCGGTGTCCAATGCTTGCTAAATAAACAAAGGACTTTTCAGGACTGATAATAATGTAACTTACACTTGCCTATTGGTATGTCTTAGGAAATCAGCAAATGTCAACTGTCATCACAGCGTACTGACATTAACTTGAATCTTTCTGAATGTTGTCAGCAACAAACAGGCTAGCAGAGAACTACTAGCTTTCTAATAAAGACTACAAAATGCTCTGCAGAGTGAGTAGAACTTGAAATGGATGTTACTAGACTAGGAGAATCAGAGCTAGAAAGAGACAGTAAGAAGACAGGAATGGACAGAAGAATTTGGTACTGGAAGGACATGTGTGTGTCTAGCTGTGCCCCTTTGGCTTTCCTCTACTCTGCTTTACATTTTCAGGGCAGCGAAGAGAGATCTTGGATTTACAGCAAACAGTCTTGTGGCCTCTGCCTAGAACATAATCTGAATGTTTAATTTAATGTGTATGTACAGCCCAGGTAGTTTCTGCCAATTAACAGTTATGGTGCTTGGTTTTCGTTCTGGACATGCCATCAGAAACTCAGTTCCAAAGACCCATTGGTCACCTAATGGAATCTTCATTATTTTGGATAGGAAACTGATGGTAAGATGAGGTAAATTACTTGCTCAAGTTTAAATAAGATTTCTTTTGCTTCATCAGTTTGATGAATCATAGTGAATTTGTTTTGTTCCTTGACTTTTGGTAACATCATAAAATATGATCCATCAAAATACTGCCACAACTTAAAGAAGATAGGAGAGGATTTCACAGATACCATTCCTATCTCTAGCCTCACTTGGGAATTGGAAGGAGGGAATGATCCTATGAGTAAGAAAAGGCGAGGAGAGTTCTCGGACTTTCACTGCCCTCCCAAGAAGATAATAAAAGTACAGAAGGATGATGGTTCCACTGGGTCTCTCGTTATAAAGCCAAAACCTAACGTGGCAACGAAGAATCCACATTTTACACAGCAAGAGGCTGCAGCAAAAACATCTCGTGATTCTTTTACTTCTAAATCAACCCATGTACCTAATTCTGATGCTCAGAAACTTAAAAATGCATCTTTAAAAAATTCTAGCTTGGAAGCTATTAGAAACAAAATTACTATGTCTGATGATGATATTGATTCTGAGGATGAATTAAGGCAACTGATTGCAAGAGAGGAAAACCTAGAGAAAACTAGGCGTTCCTCAGTAAATGAATCTGAAAATGATCCCTTCGAGGTTGTTAAAGAGGAGTTCAAATCAGACATTCATAAGCTCCATTCTTTAACAAGTTTAGGCATCAGAAATGATGTTTCTTGCCTTGATGGTGATCATAATGTTAAGGGAAATGATTGTGACTATGATTCAGGAGATACAGATGAAATTATTGCAGTGAAAAAAAATTATGGTGAGGTGAAAAAAAGTACAGAATTTTCACAAATGAAAAAGGCCATACACAAGAAAACTTTGAAAAATAGAAAAGACTGTGAGCTTCCTGATCATTGTATTAAAGTACAAAAGAGAAATAATGTAAAGGTGGCCACCCATCAAGGAGCTAAGCCTCTTGATTGTAAATCACCCATTGCCAGTGGCAGCAAAGATGCCGATTCTGTATCAGAATCAGCTGAGTCTATAGATGAGGAGTATAGTGCTATGATGAAAAACTGTCTCCGTGTGAATCTCACTTTGGCTGATTTGGAACAGTTGGCTGGTAGGAAGCTGGAGGCTCCAGGAGAAGATACTGAAGTCAGTGTTGAGGAAACCACTGCCATATTTAACAGGGCCTCCAAGAACCCAAGGACTCCCAGTGGCTTCCACAGAGGCCGACGGTGTATTCAACCTGAGGAAATTGTGGCTTCCCTTTTAGAAGGAGAAGAGAATATCGTTGGAAAACAGAAACCAAAGGAAGGCAACTTAAAGTCAAAATTCCAGGCTTTCAAGGGAATAGCCTGTCTCTATGGGAAAGAATTAACGAAAAAATCCTTGAAAGAGGGTGTTGCTGCTAACAATATTAATAAAGACCAGGATTCTGTGAAACTTGAGGAATCGTGTAGCATATCCCTGGGAAAAACTCAGGGCACATCAAGCAAGACTCCATTCCAACAGCCAAAGAAGGCAACTGATTCAAATCATATTCAGCCTCCAAAGAGACAGGATCTTATGGTGGTATCCCCTAGCAGTTCAGAAAAGGGAAGTAAAACTCCTATTTCTTGTTTGTTAACATTAAACAATAAGAAATCTTTAAGTCTTGGTGCAAAGACTCTGAAAATGGGCTTTGATAAAGCCAGGACCACAAAGACAGAAGAGGACTTAGAAAAGAAGCCTGATCTGAGAAGTGGAGCAACCCCTGAGAAATCCTCAGTGTCCTCTAGGAGAGGTACTCAGGGAAGCAAAACTGATTCCCTACTTTGTGCTAATAGTTTGTCAGATGTTGATGCTAAGCAGAAGCATGCTGAAGATAACCAGAGACGCTTAGCAGCCTTAGAGGCAAGGCAGAAAGCAAAAGAAGTACAAAAAAAGCTGGTTCAGGATGCTCTGGCAAACTTGGTGAGTAGATTTAACTAGACCTCTCAAAGTCTAAACTTTTCTTCCCATGAGGATGGTATGCCCTTTTAGAGCTCCAGTTTTGTTTCATGTCCTTGACTTAAAAACTTTTATCACTGTAGTATATCCCAGAAGAAGTCATATTAAACTTAAAAAAAATTCATTTGCTTTTATCTAAACTTTTCTTCATAATTTCCTTTCCTTAGAAGTTACAGCTATGTAACTACATATCGTATGTAGCTACTTGATATATCCTAAAATGTCCGGTTATCCAATGATTATAGTTTGCCTAGTCAAGGTTGACTGCAGTGAATCCTCATTCATTTTTTTTCTCACAGTTGTTAAATACTTAGAAAGTTCTAGACCTTTAAGCCTCACAGTAGGAGCAAGGTTTACAAATGGTGGCCCCTGACTAAGACAGTTATTGGCCCATAATGTTGTGGGCAGAGTGTCACTGTTAAGTTTCATGTCCAGGTAGTGCACAGATAGCACTCGTGTTGTCAGGAGGAAAAACTTAAAAGGGTCAGTGGGAACTAGTTGAGGAGAGGTAAAAGGATGGGAAGTAAGAGAAAAGATAGTCCATGCAGGGAGATAGTTTGTACAAAAGGGCGATAAGGACTGAAGCAAGAGAGAGAGAGAGCAGTAAGTTATGAAGAGGCTGTGGAGCTTGCACTTTATTCTCAGGGCTGTGAAAGACAAGATTTTTAAGCAAAGGAATAAGGGTTACTTATGTAGTTACTGAAGTAAGATTTGGCAAACTATAGCTTGCAGACCACTCACTCCACAGCTTATTTATATTGCTGCCAAACTCAGGGTAACTTTTGTTTTTAAAGGTTATTTAAAGAAAAAGAATGATACAGAACTAAGACTTTAGGTGACTTGAAAAAATTCAAGTATTTTTAGCTCTTTATAGGAAGTTGGCCAACTATTGGGAAAGATCATGATGGAAAGAACAAATTGAATGAGGCAAGTCTTGAATAAGCAAAAGCCTTTGGGAGATTATGACCAACCCAGTGACAGTGGGAATAAAAAGTACCAAAAAAGTTCAGTTGATGATACTTGGTGGCCAATAGATTTATAGAGAATGAGAATAGAAATAAAATTTTGTTTAAGAAATAAGGGGTGCTGACAACATCCATCAGATTAAAGAAAAAAGTTGGGAAGACTTGCAGGAGAAGGCTGATTGTATAATGCTTTTGACGATCGCTCTAGGATGGTCATCCAGAAGATAAGTCAACACATATCATCTTTGGTTCTGACAGTGAAAGCGAAACAGAGGTGCTATCCACTTGGGAGCAGAAACAGCCAGGAGAGGAACCAGTGAAAGTAAGATATTCAGGAAGTCCTTTTGGGCATTGCTCTCCTTTTGCAAATTCATTTCTGTAAATTGCGTACCAACACATCCACACAACAGAGAGAAGTCTCCAAAATCCTTCAGAGCCATAATGAGACTGGGGGCTCCCCACACTACTGGATACAAAGACCACAGAGTCTGGAGATTCTTTGCACCATAAATATATTCTTCACCTATTCTGCAATGTGGCATTAAATGAGTGAAATCCTGAAAGAAGTGTTCTTAATGAACAATAACTTTCCTTCTCCCTCTCTTCTTGCACATCAAGCTGCATTAGGGACCTCTTGATTTTAATCAGAAAAACCAAGTAAATATTACTGAGTTAGGAGTTCCAATTCTAATGATCATCCATCCTTTCTTGGGAGATTTCATAAGAGATGTTGATTCTTAAATGTGAGGGGAAAGATTATATAATGAAGAAAGCACTGATTGTTTCAGTTATTAATAAACCTTTCTGTATCTCTTCATTTGTGTAACAGGCATCTGCTGGTAGAGCACCAGGAAAGCTGTTTGACAACAGTGGGGATGAGGAATCTGGTCCTGAAGATGACACTAACAGATTCAGAATTAAACCTCAGTTTGAGGGCAAAGCTGGACAGAAGGTTAGTGAAGACTGAAAACCTGTAACAGTCCTTATTTTTTTCTTTTTTTAAAGATTTATTTATTTGTACATACAGAATTGGGGTACAGGTCAGAAAACTCAGGGGTGGCAAGAGGCTTCACCAGAGACAGAGTGGGGAGCAGATCAGGCAGATCGACGAAGTACACTGCTGAGGGGAGGAGCGGGCGGGTCAGGAGAGGTCTGCCGTGCCATGTGGTCACCTCCAGGGCAGGTGGGGATCGAACTCATGAGGAAGTGGCTTTAGCTTCTCAGTGCAGTGCTTTAACCCGCTGCGCCACCAGGGAGGGCCAACAGTCCTTATTTTTTAACATGGTCTTAAATCTGGGTAGATGTAGGCAGACCTTGACCCACACTCCAGCAGTGTGTTTGGATTTGGGTATTGGTTTGGATTTGGAGCTGAATCTTCCATGGCCTTCTTTGGTTGGTTCATGAATATGTGGAGTTATGCAAACATTAATGTGAATTTCTTGGGAATATGGCCATTAATTGTGTGTATGTTTTGTGTCTGTAGCTCATGAATTTGCAGTCTCACTTCGGCACTGATGACAGATTTCGTATGGACTCCAGATTTCTAGAAAGTGAGAGTGAAGAGGAACAGGAAGGTAAATGCTTCATTGTCTACATAGTTCTGGTGTCAAATCTGGGGGATTCTGAGACGTCATCTAGTCTCATCCCTTTGCATAATACATGGAAAAATTCTGTAGCCCAGAACATTAAATTGTAGAGCTCTAATACTTTCTGAGTTTGTTTGTACATGTTAATTTATTAAAACCACTAATTACTTGAAGTTACCAGATGGTTAGAAATACACAGCATCCATTTAGGGGCAGCATGTTGCTCTGTCCCAACCCTGGAGACAGAGACAGGACGAGATCCCCACTGGCACTAGAGTGGCAGTCCCTGGCAAGGCCATGAACGATAGTTAAATCACACTTGGTTTTCTAAAAGGAAGCGTGTTCATCTTACTTGTGTATATCCCAGTTGTAGTTTTTTTTTGTTTTTTTTTTTTAAAGATTTATTTATTTATTCATATAGAACTAGGGTACAGGCCAGAGATGCAGGGGGTGAGAGGATTCACCAGAGACAGAGTGGGGAGCAGAATAGGCAGATCAACGAAGTATATTGCTGAGGGGAGCAGCGGTGGGTCAGGAGAGGTCTGCCTCGCCATGTGGAACTCCTCCGGGGCAGGCAGGAATTGAACTCATGCGGAAGTGGTTTAAGCTTCTTAGTGCAGTGCTTTAACCCGCTGTGCCACCAGGGAGGGCCGCCAGTTGTAGCTTTTTAAAACTCAAATTCATGCTATCAAGTCTTTGAATTGATTGTTATGTATATTATTAATTTCTGGAAACCAAGATTAAGTAAATTCTCTAGTCTCTACATCAAATTAGGTTTCAGAACTTCTCATTCAAAATTCCATGTTGAAATCATAGAAACAGTCAAAAGCTTGGGAGTAGCCTACATTTAGAAGCTTCAGATAAGAGTTTACTTCATTTCTGCCATTTGTCTCCTTACAGCTCTTCTGATCGGCATATATTCCTTCAGAGCTGTGAATAACCATTTCACCAAATGCAGTGGCATCTTCTCAAACTTCAGCCTCTTCAACCTGCCTATCACATCTGTTGCTGTGACCACCCCTTCCTGAAATGTTTTCTTCCATTGCACCATAACACCCTGATTTCTTCTTAATTCTTGATTCCTAACTTTCCCTGTGGTTGTAGGTGTTATTTAAGGTTCTGTAAGTCCCTATGACTTTAGCCTTCTTTTGTCTGTGGGTATTTCCCAATTTTAGATCTTTTTGCCCCCGATTGTGTTCATTTCTTGGTGTCTGATAGTTCACAAGTGCTCCTGGGCCAGTGTCAGATTTAATAAGCAAGTCTCAAACTTCATTTCTCTCTCTCAGCTCCTGGTCCTTTTGTTGATTCTTTCAGCAGCTAGTCATAGAATCTCTGTCTTGTTTCTTTCCTCCCCAACTTTTGAGGCTCAGGTTTTTTGTATGTGTGTGAATCCCCCAATTTTTGAGGCTCAGGTTTTTTGTGTGTATGAAAAACCCTTAGTACTTTTTCTTAGCATTTTCTTACTTCAATGTATGTTCATTTTGTTACCGCCAGCTGATCTGGAGTCTACTTTGTCTTCCTTACCTTAAAGTTTTGCTTGTTTATCAAGTTTTCTTGATTTAACTGAACATGCTTTCTCTCCTTTGCACCCTTAAGCTTCTGAGACATCTCTATAGAGAACTTAACCAAATCAGTGTATTTTTGTTTCTGTTACTTGTTTATATTCCATAGTCTGTTGTAAAGGTCTCTAACACTTAGACTTCCTTTCTGTTTCTGTCATTCAGATTACTTGACTTTGTCTCTGATTCTTGTGTTCTTAATTGTTAAGGATCATAACTTGTAGATTTCCATGATACCCTGCAGTGTCTATGACTCTTCCTGCACTTTTTATTACTGAATCAATGATTGACACAACTATCTACTGTATGAATAGTCAACAACTACCATCTTTCACAGTCTTACATTTAAAGATTCATTTGTAATTTCGATTACATTTTTACCATGATAAAGTAATCAAGGTGTTACCGTAGTCACTTTAGTTTTGTAATTAATCTTTACTCTGTTGCATTTAACATTTACTATTAAAACTGATTTTTTAAAAATCCATTTCTTCAAAGAAAAACTTTTAAACTTCCCACTGAAGTGATTAATTCTACTTTTTATTTTCACAAGATGACAAGCGGAAATGCCACATCTGGATTTGCTATGGCATTGAGGGCTTTAGGGGGAGGAAGGATACAAAACAAGGTTTAACTTTTCCTCCTCTCTTAATGTGCTTTGCGCATATTTAGGTACTTGGTAAATATTTGACTATTGAGGCTTCCCAAGTTACAGTTGCCAAGAGATGACTAATTAACCTTCTTTTTTTAAGAAATAAATGAAAGAAAAACTGCTGAGGAAGAAGAACTCGCTGCAGAAAAATTGAAAGCCCTGAATGTTGTGCAGAGTGTTTTGAATATCAACTTGAGTACTCCTACAAGCAAAGGATCAGTAGCTGCTAAGAAATTTAAGTATGACTTATATTCCATTACACCCCCCATATTTTCCTTTGCCATAAATATCTTCTTGAACTCAGTTTAAAACTAGGCCCTTTAAACTTTGGGGTAGAGCTTTTGGTAATAAGTATCTGGTAATAAGTATAAATAAATAAATGTACTTATTTTTAAACAAATGGTTCATTTAAAGAAACAAATCTTAAATTATTTCTGCATTTATATTCTTGGGTATCATAGCAACATTGTTTCCATAAATGACATAGTTGAAGATGTGTGCTTTAAAACTGTATAAATATAGCTGTTTATTATGAAAAATTTTAAACCTTTTAAAGGCTAGTATAATAAATCTCCTGCACATCATACCCAGAATCACCAACATGTGGCCAGTTTTCTATACCTTTACCCACTCCCTCCTTCTTTCCCTATTGGGATATTTTATGCAAATCCCCAGTAGTATATCATTATATCTGTGTGTATCTTAGTATGATGTAAGTAATTTTTCAGGTTAAAAAATGTCCATTGAAACTCAAAACTAGGTAATTGAGAATATGATCCTTTCTAACAATATCCAAATAAAGATTTATGTCTTACTCAATAATTAGAATAGCTCTGGTGTTGAATTGTAATTTGCTGTTTATCAGACATTAGAACTCTAATTTCTCCTTTCCAACTTCTCTTTCTCCTTTCTTTATATAGGGACATTATACACTATGATCCAACAAGGCATGATCATGCTGCTTATGAAAGGAAAAGAGATGATAAGCCAAAAGAAAGGTAAATTAAGCTGCTTCATTTAGTAGCAGGATCCTATGAATTAATCCCATTTCAGATAGTGAACAAAGTACATAGAAACCAACCATCTGTTGGTCCGCACTGTATTTTGTTTTTTGTTTTTTTATGCTTATAGAACTGGAGTATAGGCCTGAGGTGTGGTGGGTGAGAGGATTCACCAAAGACAGAGTGGGGAACAGAACATGCAGATCTACTGAAATATACTGCTAAGGGGAAACAGCAGGCAGATAAGGGATCAGCTCCCTGGCCGGGGATCAAACTCATGCTGCAGTGGCTTCAGAGAGCTTCATAGTGTGGTGCTTTAACCTGTTGTGCCATCAGGGAGTGCCCAGTCCCTACTGTTTTTAAGACAGAATTATTTCTAAAACCGAATTGATTCTTTTACACTAGTTTTATAAAATTCACAATATTTTGGAACTTTAATAATGTCATCTGGTTTAATATTTTGCATATGAGGAAACTGAGAATGGTTGTGGTTGAGTGATTTTACTCTGAGCTATCGGGTATAATTTATGAAATGTAGCTCAGAGGAGAAGAAATAGATTAATAATTAGATCTCTGATGTAATTTTGTATATAGAAAATTTATTGACTTGAGCCCTCCATGATTAAAGCATAGCACTGTGAAGCTATCACAGCTACTGTAGCACAAGTTCAATCTCCAGGCCAGGGGGTGACCCACATCATGTGGCAGACCTCTTCATGGCCCGCCCATTGCTCCCCTCAGCAGTGTGTTTGAGTCTGCCTGTTCTGCTCCCTACTCTGTCTCTGGTGGGTCCTCTTACCCCCTACACCTTTAGCCTGTACCCCAGTTCTATATGTATAAATACATAATCTTTTTTTTTTTAAATGAAATTTTATTGACCAAGGTTTTCCTTTTACAAGTAGAATTCTATGTATGGTCCTCATTTGCTGAAAGGATGAAATTAAAGTTATAAAGGTGTTTTCTTGGTTTCTGGAAATTTTCCTATAGCCAACTATTTCTTTGTGGTGCACATGTCTATATATGTCATTGCAGTAAAGCAAAACGGAAGAAGAAAAGGGAGGAAGCTGAGAAGCTACCTGAAGTATCTAAAGAAATGTATTATAACATTGCTACGGATTTAAAAGAAATATTCCAAACTACAAAAGATACCAGTGAAAAGGATGACAACATACCCTGGAATGAGGATTGTTCTGGAGAGGAAGTTCAGGACTCTGCAACTTCTGAAAATGGGGCACAGCAACCTGGAGGATTTACGTTCTCCTTTTTTGATTCAGATACTGAAATTATAAAGGAAGGTACTACTTTTTTTTTCCTTCCACATTCCAGGTAGTTTGAATTTGAGTCCATATTAAGAGCAGTGATTTAACGTTAGTTGAGGAAAAGATTATTGTTTCCACCTAGGTAAGCTATATGAGATTCAGTATTAGGTGAATATTATAACTTTTGTTATAATAGTGAATTGTTTTTGCATTTAAGGGAGCAAATTTATAGCTACCTGAAATATGAAGGGAAGTCTGAGAATAACATGCTCAGTCCTCTATTGAGTAGAAGTAGTCATGAAGTTGTATAGTAAGAAATATTTAATAGTTTATATCTTAAATGTAGTTAGAGAAACCATAACTTTTGGAACCAGTATTGTATCTGGTAGGAAGAGATATGTAACCTTAGTTTTATACAACTCTGCCCTGTCATCAATATGCCAATTATTTCTAGCCTTATCCTTTGGAGATTTTTCAGAATATAGAGAATAATATATATATATATAGATTGAACAGTATTTCAGGTTTACCTTTGAAGGCCAACATGGGCTAAAAGTTAAATACCAGTTTCTTACTAGGTTGCTCCTAGTGTTCAAGTGAAAGTTCTGGGAGTTCATGGTATGTTTAAGGGAATACGTGAGTACTTCACTATAAAGGATTCTATTTCAAAGATCAGCAACTGAAAGAGTATCCATGTTTAGCAAATATAAATGCCAGGCCTGTTACTCTTACCTGCGCTATCTATTTGAGTACCAAGGTCAGCCCTAAATTGTTGAGAAGAGTTGGCATGATATGAACTTTAACTCTGATGCTTCTGAGAGCCAACTGTGACAAATTGGCTTTGAAATAAGTAGTAAGACATCTCAGCAACCTGGGAGATGTGCTTTGAGGTACTGGCAAATTTGGCGGGGTGGGGGAGCTCGTGTAGTGATCATTTACATCTTACAGCGCTGGATTTTTCAGCAGTTCCAAAAAGAGGTTTAGGAAATTGGAAATACAAAGATATATTCCTTTTCTCATTTATAATGAGCAGAAGGGAAACCTGGTTTTATCACATCGTGTTTTATTTTAGGTTTCTTAATGCAAGCCACAGGTGTATGTTTATTTTGTTTGTTCCTTTAAGCTGGTTGTTCATTTTTAAACCTTTATTTTTTATATTTTTTTGATAGTATGGCAGTATTCCTTGTCAGATCACCTTAGCATTGCCAAAAAAATTGGTAGTTTTTCCTCAATACTTGAAAATGCAAAAAGATGCTGCCTATTTGAAATTAATGATTAAGATGTTGGAAATACAGAAATATATGTGCATGGTGAGAGAATCTAATGTGTTTAGAAATACATAGCTGTTGACTTAGGATCCTACCATATTTTATTGTCATGCTGTGTAGATACTTATAAATTGGAGACAGTGAAACCTGGAAAGGTTGCTTGGCAGGGAGCCTTTCATTTCCATGACAGCAGTTCAGAAGAGGAGGAGGAAGATGTTAATGAAGAGCCAGAAGACAGGAAGCCCAGTCCTACGTAAGTAATTTGTTTTGTTCAGGTATATACTTCATGATTTGTAAAAATCTGAGTTAGACATACTTTAGAAATATTATTAGAAGCATTTAAGCTTATCCTCACATGACAACTTAATATTCTCCTCTCAACTCCATTTAACGAGTTCCCTATACTTTTGTAATGGGGAGCATATTCCACTACCTTAAGGTTTGAATAGGCTGAGATTTTTGGATATGATGTGCTGAAGGAGGTCAGCCTGATGCTAAAGTCTCTAGTCCTGAAATAGGATGCTGCAGCTGACTGGCAGATGTGGTAGCAGAGGTGGGGGAAATGGAGCTTATACTTAACCATGCCTTTATCATCAGTGCTTCAGATGGAAGAGAGGAATTAAATTGAAAATAAGAAGATGGGTCATTTTAACAGGCAAAATGAATAAAACACAAAGATATATTTAAAAAATAGATGATTTATGTTTTCAATGTAAAATTTTGAAATCAGCCAGCTAATTCTTTCTTTCTGTCTTGATTCAGAGATGTGTCATTACCTGAGAAAGAGACCACTAGATTTTTCTTTTTCTCTAAGATTGATGAAAGACTCAATGGTAAGTCTATCTTGCAATTACATGTAGTATAACAGGTCATAAATAGTATAGCTGTCACTGCTGCACATCTGATACAACAGCCTATCCAAGGAAGAACTGTTTGGCCAGTTTTTTTTTGTTTTTTTTAAAGATTTATTTATTTGTGCATACAGAACTGGGGTACAGGCCAGAGGCTCAGGGGCAGCGAGAGGCTTCACTAGAGACAGAGTGGGGAGCAGAACAGGCAGATCTAAGAAGTACACTGCTGAGGGGAGGAGCGGGCGGGTCAGGAGAGGTCTGCCTCACCATGTGGTCACCTCCGGGGCAGGCGGGAATCGAACTCATGTGGAAGTGGCTTTAGTTTCTCAGTGCTGTGCTTTAACCTGTTGCGCCACCAGGGAGGGCCTGTTTGGCCAGTTTTGACCCTTTGCAATGTCATGTGCTTTAGCACCTCTGTTAAACTGATTCATGTCACTAGTAAAGCACAGGTGCACTAGGAACTCCCACTCCCCATCTCCCTCACACATACATTATCATCAGTAACACTATTTTGTGTCCAAGGAACTTGCTTGAATGATAGATGTACACAACTCTAAAAGTTGATGTGAAAATTCTGAGGCTATTCATGAACTGTTTCTTAAAAGCCTTGTACAGGGCCCTCCCTGGTGGCACGGAGGGTTAAAGCACAGCACTATGAAGCTAAAGCCACTTCTGCATTAGTTCAGCATGATTACTGGCCAGAGAGGTGACCCACATGGTGTGGCAGTTCTCTCCTTACCCACCTGCTGCTCCCCTTAGCAATGTTCTTCAGCAATCTACCTGTTCTGGTTCCTATTCCGTCTGGTAAAACCCCTGTACTTCTGGCCTGTACCCCAGTTCTGTATGCATAAAGAAATAAATCTTTTTTATATATATATAATAGTTTATTTAATTTTATAATAGTTTGTTTTTACATCATTTTGTGCCTTTTTTCCATCTCAGTTGTAATCCCCATGGGCTTCCCATCACAAAATCACCCGTGTGCCATCACCATAGTCCAGTGCACTTCCCTCTCCCCTCTCCCCACCGTTTTTGATCCCATTCCACCCCCATAAAATGTCTCTGGTATATAGTTGTTCATTATTATTATTACTTTCTCCCTTGGTCCTTTATACTCCCATGAGTGAAACCATCCAGTATTCTTCCTTTTCTTTCTGGTTTCATAAATAAATAAATCTTTAAGAAAAAATTACCTTGTACATACAAAAACCAAGTTACAAAATAATACTGGTATATTAACAGTAAAATCCTAGCAATTCTGTTTGCATTTTGTTAGCAAATATATTTTTGAAAATCAATATATATTGGAAAAATTGAGCTAATAGAATCAAAGACCTTGACAATGCTAACACTGGAATATTGTCCATTTTTATATTAACTTACTGTCTCATCTTTTCTGGTCATCCTTTGTAGGGTCTGACTTATTCTGGAGAGGTGTGGGAAGTAATATTAGCAGGAGTTCTTGGGAGGCCAGAACAGACAACTTGCGAATGGTGAGTAATTTAATCACCATATTTATTGTCTCTTAAAATAGATGGTTTGCCTTTGTTAATATTGCCTTTGTTAATATTGCCTGGTGTGAGAGTGTGGGAAGAAGGTATGAAACTTAAGAATGACAACTGAATAATTTAAACATTCAGAATTATAGTGCTGGAACAGAACTTAGAAGTTATTTAATTTAGCCTCCATGTGATATGGATGAGGCAACAGAGGAATGGCCTTTGAGTGACTAGTCTTGAGTTCCAACCATGTTCACTAAATAACAGAGTAATATGATATTTTTGAAAGGTTGAATTACATAGTTTCCTTTGCAAACATTTAAAGGCAAAATTTTTAATACCCTATATTTCTAAGTGATCACTTCCAAAATGATTTCCATAGTCCTGACATTAACCTAAATTTTACTTAAGAGCATATACTTTACTATATGCCTTGAAAAGTATTATTTTAACAAAGGCTTTTAATTTTATGTTTTTCTAGGATTGTCGGAAGAAACATAAGGATGCCAAAAGGAGAGTGAAACCAAACTAATAAATGTCATCATTGGTTTTTCAGACTGAATGTGAATAAGGCACATGTGGACATGTATGATCTAGAAAATAATTTTAAATAACCGGTAATTCAGAGTGAAGAAACATTCAAAATCTGGCTGATGGATGTTAGTCTGGTTGCCATAATTTCTTTGGATTTGCTCTGTATTTCTAAGTAATTACATAAAATATATAAACCCAAACTTTTTAAAAAATGATGTACAAGGTAGTTTCCCACAATGCTTTTTGTATATATTCTTTTTGCCCCTGAGCCTCTGTGGGCGTCTTCTGATGCAAGGATCACATAAAGTGTTTTTTAACTATATGACTCAGAGCGCTTACATTTTTCAAGTTAAACTCTGCAGGGATTACAACCTATTTGAAATATTTATTTCTGACTTTACTAAATACACCTTTTGTACACTCTAGGTTTTTTTTTAACAGGTTGAATGCAAGTCAGCCTGAGTTACATACTTGTGTCCTGATGAATACCTAATTAAAATGGAGACATTTTAGGCCAACATCATAGGATAGTGCTATTAAGGACAGTGAAAAGACACCAAATATAGTTTTCTTATTGTTGGCTTCTAGGAAATATGGAGGCAGGCTGATTAATCCCAAAATTCCATTTAGACCAGAGGCTTATATAAAATACAAGTGTCTGAAAGATACATCATCACAGTTAGGAATCAGGACTTTAAATCCAGATATGGAAGCAAATAATTGAGCCTAGGTATTAATATAGTCCTAGCTATAATTCAAGTAAGATATATAAAAGTCAGAATCTATACAAGATTATTTTATATAGACAGCCCCAAAAGATTATCATTGAGCCACATCTAAAATAAATCTGTATTGACATCTTGATTGAATATAAACTCTGAAGTTTAGGATGTCAACTGGTTTGTTGACCATTATGACTCCATTGCCTAGAATTTTATTTAGCATTTAGTGGGTGCCAACTACATATACTTTTGAATAACAGGGACCAGGGCATTAGCTGAAGAGTCATTTGGGATTCCAATGTTTTGAGCCTCAAGACTCCATGGGAAACAGAACCAGCTAGCCAAACCAAACATTCTACCTTCTCTTGATGTAGATTACATTTTGTACCTTCTTACTTATTGTTGCTTAATAAGCAGTTACAATCACTTGTTTTGCTTACAAATAAGCAGACTTAGTGAGGACTGCTCATCCTGTTCCATACAGTATCACTGGAATGGTTCACTGGGGCTAGATGGCCCATTCAGTGCCCATCCCTGGTTTCCTCATAGGGTAGCAATTGGATTCAGGAGCCACCAACAGATGCTGCAGATCTTTTAGGTCTGCCTCCACCAGAAACTGAGTCATTTCCATTATAAATATTTCTTTTTACTGAGGTAACAGTTTACAACAATGTATGGTTTCAGGTAGAGTTTTTCACCTCTGCAACTATATTTTACACCTCTCCAACCACCATTTCCTCTGTGTTCTACTTGTCAAAACAGTTCACCCAAACTCAGAGGGTACACACCCTCAAGAAGTGTCAAGGAATTTATAGTCATTTAAATCTGTCATGATCTCTTTTCTCTAAGGCAGAAAAGGGACAAGCAACTTTGCCAGTCCCCTCTCCCCTGCCCCTCCCCCCTCAATGCTCCCCAGAGATAAACACCTTCCACATTCTTACCCTTTTCCTCTGGTCTTTTATCTCAACCCAATTTTATCTTATATATATATTTTTTTTATATAATTTACCAGTGCATGTCACCAGTCTTCCTGTGCTCTGCCCTTGTTCCCATCTCCCTCCCTCTTCCCTGCAGAATGTCTATTTGTTTTGTTGTGTTTTTTGTTTGTTATCAATTAAATTTTAAAATCACACTGTCCTCCCCTTTTTTCCCTGTATCTGAGAGGTCTTTTCTTGGTCAGGTATGGCCTGGCCAATCTGGTCTGGACTGAATTGAGCAAGGTCGCATCTTGAGGGATTGGAAGACTTAAAAACGCATTTCAACTATTTCTAGTTAATAAGTTGCAGATACAAACTACTAAATGCATATGTTCAAGGGTTAGTGAGCACACCTTTGCGGAAAAACTCTAAACCCTGTTATAATCCCTGACACTAAGATGGGCATTCTTAGACTGTTAAGTCAACGCTGTGATTACAAGCAGATAAATGAAATACACGAGTCAACTTTGTTTTCATTATATGAAATGTTTTAAACTAATTTGAATGCTGGCTGCCAGCATTACCTTTCTATTTCACGGCACTCACTCCATATGGCCATCTATGTTCATTCCTGTAGTAAGAAGCCCCAGATGGGGGTAGCACTGAGGACATTGCTGACCGGAGCGGGGTTCTAGCGACCCCAAGACAATATTTTTTAATTCCAGTGACCAAGGGTCGATACTGAGCCTTCCACACAGCGTGCTGAAACGCCGAGGGTTCCTGTCCTGGGGCCCCAACAGCGTCCTAAATTGCTGGACCTGAAAGTGGTAAGACGAAACGCCACCACGCCTAGCCGGCGACCACACAAATCAGTCGGTTCCATCCGGCTTGACATCTCGCACAGCTACCCAGCTGCCTTCCCAGCGTGCACCGCAGCGCCGCAGTGGGCGTGGCTGACCCGTCCACCCAATCGGAGGTCGGCTTGTTGATGTGTGCGGGGTGATAACACTGATTGGTCGGTAGGGACCGTCTCTTCACGCTTGTGCGGCCCTGTCAGGTGTTGCATCACTTCCAGACGCCGTTGGCGGCGTGGACAAGGTCTCTTCTGAGGCTCCGGCCCGTGGGGCCTCCAGCTATACCTCCTGCCTTCTTTGCTACAGCCCCTTCCTGCCCTCGGGGCCTCTCAGGTACACCCCTTTCCGCCGTCGGATCCCCTACGCCCCATCCACCATATCCAGGGCCCCAGCCCCTTACCCATGACCCTTTTTTCTCCCAAGAGCCCCTCGTTACTGTAGATTTTTGTTTCTTCCGGGATGTGGGTTAGTTTCATGCATATTGTTTGCTAAAGACTAAGCTCTAGACAGTGTAAGTGGACTTAAAAACTCAGAACTGGCCGGACATCCTGGCAGGACTTTTAAGGCGGAAGGTTTTTGACCCTTAGAAACTCTGCAGCACAGACCGGGGATCTTGGTAACGTGTGGTGTTGAAAAGTTGTTAGGATTTGATGTGGTAGAGCTTTCTGGAGAAGTTAAGACGGTTGGCGAGATTGAAGCGGAAGTCCCAAGCAGTTCCTTGCCATCCTCAAGTCAGACACTATTGCTTATGCCAGGTGCACATGCAGCTGGGAGCGGGGAAGGAAGACAGCTTTCCAGTATCACTTGAGGACATGAGAAGCTGTTCTGGGCTTGGGGTCTTGTGGATGAGTAGAAATTATAGAGTGAGAGTTCAAGCGACCATAGATAGTAAAGCTTAGAAGTTTTTGAAAGCATGATTTGATTCAGATGAAAAGTCTCAATAGTCACTGCAGCATAAGAGAAGATGTGTTTGAGGAACAAGTGCTTAACTTTCAGCCATCCGGATTCATTGTTTCCTTCTTGAATGAAGTGGTGGTTGGAATAAGTCTAGAAGAGAAGATGGGTTTTAATAAAGTAGTGTAGTATTAGGTTTAACATTTACAGTCAGGATTTGCAGAGAACACAAGATGAAACAAAGAAAATTGATTTATTTAGGGGATTTTTGGTAATATGACAAACCTTAGAGTAATGGTAAAGTGGTTGACAGTATAATCTTTTCACAGCGAATTAGAGAGTGAATTATAGGGAAGAGAAGGCAACTAAGTATAGATTGCACTCTTTAAGTGTTTTTGGAAAGATGATACTGTGACTGGGCAAGGGCAATAGAATGGAATGTGTAAGCAAAGTACTAATAATAGCTTACATTATATAATGACATATGATTGTTGTATTTTTTACTTTATTTTATAGCTGACAGAATTGAGGCTTAAAGACTAACTTTCTATAGATAACATACTAAGTGGTATCACCAAAACTTCAGATTCCATGCCAATCTTAATCATTACCTTATGTGGGAAGAAGCCCATGGAGCGGATTGGATTGGAAGGGCCAGTGGCATAAGTATCTCTGACAGAAATTAATAAAGATGCTGACAAGTTTTTCCTAACTACACACTGGAGGTTAGATAAGTGCTTTTGCCAACAATAGTTTACATTTGAATTGGAGTGTGGGGGACTTGCAATACCAATAAACCAGAGTCAGGGCAGGACAGTACTAGCTCTGAAAAAAGAGGTTGGTGATAGCCACACAGGAGAGTGATAATAAGCCAAGTAGTTATAGAATATGTGGGAAAAGGGCCTGATACTGGAAACCAGTATATTTTTTTCAGTATCAGCAGTGTCCAAAAGTATGATGTAAATGAAGCTTTAAATTTTGTAAGAGTAAAAGCCAGTAGTAAACATAATTATTTGGAGTAAGATCATGTGGCCTTGAGTACCCCCACTGGAAAGTCTGCACAGAATACTATAGGGAAATAAATCCCCTAGAAAATTAATTCAGAATTTGTAGGATGTATAGTATTTGATTTTCTCTTTATTTTTAAAGTATTTGTGATAAAGTTAATTCATACTAAGCAAAATCAGAACAGAGTAGTGTGATACAACAAATAAAAATCTCTTCTTTTCCTTCCTAATCCTACTCTTAATGATAGCTAGTTAAGTTTGGTGGGTAACCTTCTATATTCAACTACAAAAATACTGAGACATATATTTGATATCATACACATAGTGTAAATTGCTATAACTGATTTTCTCAGTACCTACAGGTACTGTAGATGATAGAGAATTCATTTTTTAAATGCCTGCATGGTGTTGATGTACTATGTCTTTTATTTTATTAAAGATCTATTTATTTATGTACACAAGAATTGGGATACAAACCAGAAGTGCGTGGTGGGGGAGTGAGAGACTTGACCAGAGTCAGAGTGGGGAGCAGAACAGACAGATTCACTGAAATAAACTGCTGAGGGGAGCAGCAGGTGGGTCAGGAGAGGCTGTGCCATGTGGACCAGCTCACTGATTGGGGATCAAACTTATGCTACAATAGCTGTAGATAGCTTCATAGTGCTGTGCTTTTTTTTTTTTATTTTAGTCACCTATTCATGAATATTTAAGATGTCATATCTATGTGTCTATAGATATGACATTTCAGTTAATGCCTTTATATGTTTTAAACATTTGTGTGAGTTATAACTATAGAGTTTATGTTATAGGATATAACTAAACTCAGGAAAGGCTGGAAATATACCCATCTTTGGGGTTATTCTGACTTAAACACTTGGGACACTTGGGAAAGATGGAA